AAAAAAATATATATATAATATAACTCTGACACAGCTCTGCTCCTGCAGCTGTAAGTAATCCTCAACTGCAGTAAAAGACTTTATCTAGACACAGTAGTTAAAACTGCCTTTGTTGATAAAACCATTTCTTTGCTGTGTAGTTGTTCTACCGTGCAAATGATCATTAAAATATAATAAAAAGGCAGAAATACATTGAATAATGGCTGTTTAAAGTAATGAATCATGAATGATTAAAATATGAATTAATATGAATAAATAAGATCATTTAAATGAAAGTTGTTGCCTATTATTGACTTATTCATAGTTTCTCAAAGCCTTTTTTTGTTTTAAGATCGTTGAAACAAACAAATTATATAATTCTCTGCAGTTGCTGTTCTACCCAGTAAATTCAGTCCAGATTCACGTTAATTTTTACAATAGCTTCTCTTAGAAGCCGAATATCAATTTAAGACATAACTTTTTATGTAACTTACATTCTGTTATTTGTCACATGTCAATGAAGATAAATTGAGGAATTTTCAACAAGTCATTATCAAACATTTCCGAGAGAATATAAAGAATTGAAAAAAAATTTGGCCCATTGCGAAAAAAGACATTAACCTCTTGCTAATTCCTGAATTAACAATGATAAATTATAAAAAAGCTGCATTAAATTTCATTATCCAACTGCTGCACGATCCATAGATTTACAAATTTGCTTAAAGGGTCATAGATTGATTCTATAGGGTATTTGGTGTTGGTCTTTAAGGTCTCTGAATAGGATGTCTAACATTGGTTGGGCTGAAAATGGCATATTTGCTGTTCTATGAGCCCTAATTCCAGCCTGGTTAAAAGCCCTTAGAATGAAACAACAGGTTTTCTTCCTTTTATGGTATGATCATGAATATTTAGATGAGCTGTGCGCTGATTGGTTGGTTTACAACGAGCAAAGCTGCTGAGCAAAGACGCATCATAGCCACAAGCACTCACTCACTGGAACATCAAATTGTTGATATGGTAGGGTGACCAGACGTCCGCCTTTTCCCGGACATGTCCTTCTTTTCATACCTAAAAAATTGTCCAGGGAGAATTTCAAAATAGTCCGGGATTTTGGTTGACTACACGGACGGGGGCAGGGAGCCAGCGGGGGACAGAGCGACCGAACCCGACCCAGTGACGGTAGACAGCCCCATGCTTCCCCCCGCCTGCCTTACTGGCCCCCAGCCCCCCTCTTTCAGCTGAGGACGGGCGACTCATGGCTCTCTGCTGGATCCGGTCCAGTCAGCGGCCCTGCAGTCGACACTTCTCCAACCCCCGTTTCCTACAACATCAAATAGGCTAAAATATCTGAAAAAGCAACACCTCATGTTCTAATCTGATGAAAATCAGTAAGAGATTAAAAAAAACAAACCCAGCAACATCTACGAGTCTGCAAATGGTTAAAATCTATGAGGCTTTGAGACTCAACCAAAAACACTGAGGACAAGAAAGAACACAGAGTCCCCTGTCACATTTGCAATCAAAACAAATGTGTCAATGAAAGAGTTCAGGAAATATTCTGTAGCCTGATGGGACATAAACAGAGGATTTTTGAAACCTTGGCTTCATCAAATCTGGTGCAAAAATGACCAACAATTAAAAATAACATACTACTGAATTAAAGGTACTGTTAATAATGTTCAGTCATCCCTGATTTTAAGCTAAGGCACAGTGAGACAGTAATCTAAGGCATTCAGCAAGCCCTTCTCTGAATAGACCAAAAAATGGAATAATTAGTTGATAATTAATTGAAATATTGCTGTCTTTATTTGTTGTTTGTCTTTCTCCTGCTACTTCAACATCCCCTCACTTTTCTCTCCATTTTCCAGTCTCTTTTCTGTTTGATCAATAAACTAAAGCCCCTGTGGTTTTAATCGATGGAGCGTGCTTCTCTAGGCCCAGGATGACAGACTGTCCTCCTGCCTTTGTTTTTTGTTTTCAGCCATAGATTCCAGCTTCATCTCATCCAAACCATCCTCCGCTCTCCTACCCTTTTCTTTCACCTGAGCTAAAATTAGCCGCCTCTCTTCCTCCGTCAGCAGCGAGAACTGCACACACAGGTGTGCCCTCACAGTCACACACATACTGTACTTCAACTTCTTCCCCGTTTGTCCTTGACGTGGAGCCTTTGAGATTGATGGCGCTCCTCCCCAACATGAGCCGTCTCGCCGCATTTCGTCTCCTCTCCTCTTGTTTTATTTGGAATGAGAGGACTGCAGTTCCCTAATGAATTAATGGTACACTTAAAAATGCATCTGAAGCATTGCAGCCAGACTCCATTAGGGGATAACATTGGCTCGGAACAAACAGGTCCCTCTTCCCTTCTCCCCCATTGCAGATACATTGCAGGCGTCTCTGATTTATTTTACAGGGAGCCCAAAGAAATGTCACCTTTAGTAAAAATATGCACATAATTTACATCAGGAGAGCCCCTTCCACAGGAGCATGAAAGAGGCGCATTAACAAACATCAAACACAATACCATTCAACAGATCAAGAGCGTGATTGAATAGACACCCACAAAGCGGTCCTGTGTTTTCTGTCAGTGAAAGGGTTTTAATCAGGGTGCTCATACTGGAATGCCGTGGGTATATGGCTATTCAGAGGTGAGTGTTTTACAGGATCAACAGATATCAGCTGAAATATTAGGTCCTCTCCTGGTGAAGCAGCAAATTTCCTCTTCTATGTACGCCTTGACTCAGATTATTAGTGGGTCCGTTAAATTGTAGGAAGTAATCAGCATTTTTAGTTTCGCAATATAAACAATTGGGCCTATTTTCATTAGGTTTTAGCAGTTAGTGGAGGTTTTTTTTTGTTTTTGTTTTTTTAAACATATAGACAAGTGTTGTGTAGGGCACATAAACTGGATCCTAGAGCCTTAAACTTGCCCAAGACCTAAAGGTTAAAGACCTGTTGGCTGCTAAATATCCTCAGTGCAATGTTTATAACTCTTTCTCTCAAACTCTCAAAACACTTTTTTCAGGATAGGGAAACATTCCTTCCTTTTTGCTGAAAATAAGAATGTTATGATCTTCCCATCAATGACAGGAAAACACACTCATGTTATGACCTGCTTAGCTCCGCCCAGTTTTCATTCTCACTCATCAGATCCACCTGTTCCAGTTCCTATTTAAACTGCTACTTCCAAGCCCTCAGTGTCAGATTATTCGAGCCATGTGTTAGAGTTCTGTAGCTTACCCAAGTGTGTTTCTCGTTACCTGATCCTGACTAGATTCTGCTCCTGGACTTCTGAGTTTTGCTTGCCCTTGTTCTTATCTGTTTTGCTTGACCTGTCTTTGGACTTCTTTTTGGATTCTGCCTGCTAACGACCTTGGTTCTGTCTCCCACCCCCGGCTTGGATTTCCCTTTGGTATCTTCTTGCATCTCTAATATTCTGCCCTGGACATCTCCCTCTGCATTGACACTGACTTTGGATTTTCCCTCCAGATACTTCTGCTCTTCCTCATCTGCTGGCTTCCGCTCGTCAGTCTGCTCTGCTTCACTCCTGGAACTCTCTGGGCGGTACACGCTGCATGCTTTGAAGAAATCCTCCGGCTGGATTCCACTCCTCCCTCTGGGCTTGGACTGAACCTAGAAAACCAGGTTAGTGACTCAAAAGCTCTCTATAGTTCCCTGTCAGAGTTGCGTGGTCACTAACCTGAGTTTCTACCTCTACAGGGATATCCAGCCATCCATTCCCAGCTGATGAGCTGCTGATTATTGAGAAAATAATAAAAATACATTCTGAGTCCTGACAAAGAACCTTTAATCAAAAGCTAACATCAGCATCCTTGAACAGCTTGCAGCACTGTCTTCCTACAGTATGATTGAAAGCTTATATTTTTCTACCAGCTGTGCAGCATAAAGATGTTTAAAGTCATCCAAGGATGCAAACAATTCTTCTCAAATCACTCATGCCAACCATAAACAATACAGCACCCTGGGCGGTATGCCATTTTGCCCATATCAAAAACCACCGCTGCAAATCCCTTCAGTATATATGATATGCAGGTCCCAATCTATTCAGCTAGAAAATCATTGTGCAGATGAGAAAAGTGCAGCCAAGAATTGCTTCTGCATATAGATTCTGTCAAAGCAGTTCTAAATAAATCTGTTTTAAAATGCCATAATAAGTATTTAAACCAGTGCATGCACAGAGCAGTTATTTTCTCTGAGAGATCCTGCAACTTTAGATAGGATGATAACTAGCATATAGACACAAAACATTTAGTCACTCACCGAATCACATAGCAGCACTACATTTTTGAAATGACTCAACTGTTTTTCAACTCCAAAGAAAAAATGAGTAAGCCTGTGCTACTCATCTGTGCCAATCCATGATCAATTTTAACATTTGTTTGGAGCCTATTGCCTCAAAATCTAAGACAATGAGGCACCGTTGGCTTAGGAGCTTATTACTGGGCTTAACCTACTCTGTGCTTCTGCACTGCTTGAGGTTGACCCAATTCCCAGGAATGGAGCCACCAACTGTCTTTGTGTTATAGACCACCTGGATGCCAAAACCTCCTGAAGAAGAAAGAGTAAAAGTTATATAGTCATTGAAAATCTGTTTTAACTGACTGATTATAAAGAAAAATAACCAATAACTTCTTAAGATGTACTGAAAACAAGAGTCATATTTCAGATTGCTTAGATATGCTTTCCCTACGTTTGTACTTTATGGTTTTAAATAACAACATTGAGGTGAAGACATATAAAATGTTATTAAATACATTGGATTTTCATTTAAAGGAGGAGATCTCTGGTTTGATACCCTTTATTCTAAACAAAACTGAAAGCAAACAGCTACAGTAGGTCTTCTGTGTATATTTATAAGGAAAGGCTCTTGAAATGTCTCATCAAAGAGGGTAACCTTATTCATGCTGGTTCTGTGCAGCAGTCGTTGGTGTCAAGAGAGTGTATTAGTTGGGAGTATTAGTGAGACCTCGGGATCCCTGGGCTGCTCCTTCTGCTCTCTCCATATGACCCTGCTAATCCCTCAGCCTGTTGTCTGGGACACACACAGAGGCCTGACTCATAGTAACAGCAAAGATGTGCACCTAAACTACTGTTATGCTTTATTTACAAAGGTGTTTTGCTCATTTAGATTTATTTTATCCATAAAAATCAATAACTACAAACTCCTGAAGCTTTGAACATACACTGCTGGTGGGTGTTTTGGAAGAACTCCTGGAGTGGCAGATGAAAACCGGGGTTGTAGGTCAGGATTGATCCAATCGATCTGCTAAACAAAGATCAGAAGATAAAATAATACCAGTCAATCTCTAAAAGGTTGAACAGGGTTGAAAAAGGGAATCCCACAGCTTCCAGTCCAAATACAAACCAGCTAGTAGAGCAACGTCTTTGTTTTTTTTTTAGATATTTGACAATAGATTATGCTTGTATGTCTTGAATAGGAAGTGCTGGATCAGAAAGTCGCTCTGGTTATGGTTTAGTTATTGTGTGGAAGAGGATTTGGTATAGTTTGTGATTTCTTAGCAGAACATAAAACGATCCCTTAATGATTGAACATTATTGATTTCACATTGGAGAAACTCCCACATTTAAACCAGGGATTTTCTTTCTTTTCTTCTAATGTTTATTTTTAAATCTTTGATTTGTTTCATTTTGGAGGGCATCCAAAATAAAAATGGAAAGGTGAATTGTATCCTTTTTGCTGTAAAACCTTCTTAAATTTACACTGGAGAGATAAATAGAGCAAGGTTTTCACCATTTTATTAACTTAATATTTTTAGACACAACTTCAGCAACAAGAGTCAACATCAACTCACTAATATATATGTGATATCATTAGCAGAGCCTTTTTCCAGCCTCCATGCCTATCAGGGATGTTTATCTTAATCAAAAAATGCAGAAACTTTACTCTCTTTTGTCTCATTTTGTCTTGCAATACCCATGGAAATGAGCCAAGGATCTTCCTGCTGCAAAGTAATAGTGCTACAAAATTCCCCACTGTCCAGCTAAGGTGTGCTGAACCAGAGATACACCTAAAAGGTGCAGGACACTGGAGCTTGAGGACAGGAACTGAAGGGAACTGTCCTGGAGGAAAATTCATGCATCGTTTATTATGTTTTAAATCCTAAAACTGGCTAAAAACTTGTAAAGCTTATTTTCAGTTCCTCTTAATCACAGCTGAAGTCATTGGTAATATGTCTCCATCAGCATTGTCCATTTAGAGATCTCAGGGTTTTCCAGCTTCTGTAGGGTGAAACCTCCACCTTACTTAAATCCTTTTCAGATTTTTTTCCTGGACTGACGTGTATTAATCTCCATCTATAGTCAGATCAAAACTAACGTGCTGTCCTTTTCTTGCTGTAGTAGTGCTTTCCTAAACGTTTGCTGAGTCCTCTACATGATTTAGGTAAACTACAAAGATGCTTTTTATGAGTCTGTTGGAACAACAGCTTTCTTTGTGCGAGACACCCATAAAGTCTTGATTTGTGTGCCTTGATAATATTCTTCACCTGAGCTGTGGATCTTAGCAGCTAAAGGGTTATCATGGGCCTCTTGGCTGCTTCCTCAATTAAGGATCTCCTTGTCTGTTTTGGCTGGACAGCTATATCTGGGTACATTTGTAGTTGTGCCAAGCTATTTCTACTGTAGTGTGACAGTTGCCCAGACAACAGATTTCCCCACCTGAGCTGTGGATCCAAGGAGCTACAGAGAGAATTAGCTTCTGTGATTACTGCTCTTCTCACTCGGCCTGTCAGTTTAGGAAGGCAGCCATTCTTTGGTAGGCTGTCACGCTCTTTTCAGTTTTGGATTTTGGTTTACACAGTGCTCAGTGAGATTTCCAATGCTTGGATTCCTAACTTCATGCTGTGTCCTTGGGTCATCGTGATGCTTTTTTTCCCCACAAATCCCTATATTTACTAAAACTGGAATTATATGTGCTCTAACTAATTAGGTGAACTCTGATTTCTTTCTTTCTTTGGTGTTACATCAAATGGGTCTGATATAGAAGCAGAGGACACTTGTCAGAAATGTATTTGCAAAATATATAAAGGTTTTAATTTCACTGACACTAAATAATTCTGCACTGCTTTTTTGTAGATCAATCATGTTTAATGACTAATAAAATATATACAATTCTGGGTTTTGGTAATAAGCTAGCTAAATGGCATAAAGCTCAAGGGGTACTTCTGGGCCAGTATATCCCATAGGTTGTCACCTTCCATCAGTGTCATAAAGGCAACTTTTTTTCTGGAAAAGACCCATCATCATAAAACCATCATCATCTTATTTCATTCACTTTCTCATCCGGTGAAACCCAATCCGGTTTTCAGTAGCATCATTTCCTCATTTTGCTCTTGCCTGTTACCATATATTGAGTCATTTTCTTCACCCTGCCTTAGCAGAGAGGTGTATCCTCTTATGCAACTGTACCGTGACTATTCCACACAGACAGACAGACAGACAGGGTATGAAACGCTGTCCCATCACTTCTCCTCCAACACATGCACATTTAATAGACTCTGCATCTCCGCACTATGCGCTCCACCACTCTGCAAAGCTTTACTCTCGGGATTTACAGCCATAAGTCTCCTCTCTTCTTTCAAACCCTTGCACAAACACACACAAACACACGCATGCATTAATGCATACACACGTCTGGCATCGCTTACAGGAAGTCGATTGACATACGTATGCACACACAGAGAAGGGCCTACATGATTCACAATTTCATTCTTCATGTGATGACGGCTCTCCACCTCCAGTCACGGCACTGAAAACAAACAGCGCATCGGATGTGGATGAGGAAACACAAACCGGTCCAGATGGAGGATTAAGGGGGAAATTTGTTGCTAAAAAAAAAAAAAAAAGAGGCAGGTTTGTGCGTCACATCTGCGAGATATTTAATGTAAAGTAGCGCACGTCGCCATGCATCTCTCCTCTTGGCTGTAGTCAGGAAAGGGTGGCAGGAGAGGGCTTGCCGTCGGTCCGCAGATTGGTGCGCAACGCCATTACAGACCACCCTACTCTGCTTGGTTCATTCATAAATACCAGAGGATCGCCATCTCGCAGCGGTGCATCATTTGGAAGACACATCAGCCCCCACCCCCTCTCTCTTCTCAGTAATAAAAAATGATAATAAAAACCAATCAGTTTCTCCATTTCTGCCTGCTCACTGCCAATATGGCTGTGCGGACATATAGGCTGCAACGGATATAGAAACAACACGATCGAGATTTTCCAATAGAATCAGGACTCGGAATTTATGCTGACATGGGTGAGTCTAAAACAGCAGCAGTGATATGAATAAATCGGAGGAGAACAGCGGGAATCCTTGAGCGCGCAAACCTCCAGCAGCCAGGCAGAAAGCAGAGCACAGCGCGGCTATACGCCACCAAATACCAGCATCTAATCTGCGCGTAAAAGAGGCAGCAGAGGACAGCATCTCCATACCTGGTCGTGATGGATATTTAGACGCAGGCTCCGTTTCAGGCTGGTCCTCGGTTCGAAGGGGTCAGAAAACAAACGCTGAGAGCGTCTTAAAGCATTTTTACACGACTCATGTAGAGCTCATGTCCTCCGATTCCCACTCACACACACGGTACAGCACGCACAAGCAATCTCAGTCTCTCAACCCCCCCCCCATCCCCTCTCTCTCTCTTTTTCTCGCAGATGGGATGAGGGAGGTGCTATACCTTCTCCCTTGTCTGTGGGGCTGAAAAAGTCAGGCTAAGCATTCATTCATATCCGTTGCATATTTTTTTTTTTATATATCTCCTATATCTTACCAATGGAATTAATGCATGAATTCCAACTAGGATCCCAAGTTAAATCTGATAAGAGAATCCGTGGGGGAAGCTAAAGATTAGGGTTATGACAGGGAGGCCATTAGACATCTTAGATCATATCACCACATATTAATCTTCTAAAATTTTAGGATTAATATGTGGTGATATTTAGAGTCTAAATACTAGTGGTGTCATGCAAAAAGCTGATAAACATTTATAAAAACTGAGAAGCCAAATTTAGTAACATTTCTAGATGAAATTTACCATGCAAAAACCAACAAGAAAGAACAGAGAAATAACACATCTTTAGTTTATTAAGTCAGCCACAAACCTGTAATTTCTTAAAAGTTGTTTTATTTAAGCATGGTCTGCCAAAGAAAGGAGGGTTTAGGCCCCAAAACAAGATAATTAGATGCACTTGAGAGAATATAACAGTTATTTTCCTTTTTGTTTTACAAATAAATCCTCTTATTCCATCTGCAAATTATCTTACCGTTTAACCAAGGTAATACACAAGTATTTAAAGAAATATGTTTTTTGCAATTTATGTTAGGTACAGGGGCCACAGCCAGTTCTACAGGGGCCCTACTGGCCCTGGTATAGAGGCGCTCATGGCCAAGGTGATGGAAATTTGATCACATTTTCATAGTCATAGGTAAAACTATACAAAAATAGGCTGTTTAAATTACAGTAGCATCTTTGTTATCTTAAATATGTTTTGAAAAGTGCTTTTTAAGTTTAACTTTTCATTTAATCATTTTACAAACGTTCAGCTGTATGACACCTGTGTTCACATGAGAATTTCTGTTGTGTTTGGAGTAAATGCAAAAATTTCAAAATCATGTCTTTAGTCCAATGCATTCCTTAGGAAGTTGTTTTGGAATGTCTTCCCCTAGTAGTAAATATTTGGGGAATATTTGCTGAAAGCTTTTCTTAGATTGATCTCTTCAGTGCTATAATTCATAGCTTTCTATAAGTTGATCTTAGAACTAATAATTGGCTGAGTGTATAAGATTTTGGATATTCTTCAACCCATGGGCAACAGTTGTTTGTTCGCTGATCATTTGGTTTCAGTTTCTGTTTGAAAGGAATCCTTTCCATCTAAATTTTAAAATGAAATGTTCTGACCAATGTCTAGAATGACCCAGTTCAATCAGAAAAGAGTAATACACTATAACATTATGCAATATAATTATCTGTATTTTCAACTGAATAATAACCACCTGTTAGTCCATTGATTGCTATGTGGGAAAAAAAATATTTTTAAACAATCTATCTGGTTAATGATTGTGGAGCACTTATTTTGTATAAGTACATATTAAACATAGAGATAATCCTGTGAGATTATTAAATGGTACTAATTACTAAAGATACTAATATTAAACTCACATTATTATTTAAAAATATAATTTAGATTGTCCCCTCCCACCTGTGCCAGATTTAACGTTTCGTTTGTACAATATCAGCACCATGGACATCAGCACCATGGACAGCGACATTGCCGCACATTGGAAGGCGCCGGAACTTGTGAATGCAGCACATCATACATATTGATAAGGCGAGAAAACACGCAGCGGAAAGAAAAGGCAATGATGTGTTGACGGATCCAACCACGATGTACCAGGAAATGAGCCATCGGTTTATTGATGACACCCAAACATATCCTGAACACAACTCATTGCCGTAATGGTTCCAGAATCTCCCTCTTGCCATTTAAAGTCGTGCTCAAACGTATTTAATGGTCTCCTCGTGCGTACATAAATTATTATTATTTTTTTTTTTATCCCAGATTTTGTTTAGAGGTTTGCCGTTTGCATGCAAAACCCTGCCTGAATGACTCACCAGCTCTGCATCCACACCAAATAGAGTTTGGCTCCCTCTCTTGGCGGATAGGGGGAACTACAGAAGAGCGTTTAATAATCTAAGGATCTTCAGCAAATTTAGATTAATTTTAGGAATTTATCCCTAGCAGCCTTTCATAAGCAATAGAAGGAAGAAATGTTATTGGTTTTACTTTGATATTTGTCAAGACAATGAGGCAAGGTTTTAACAAAATAAGCTTCCCAAAAGCAGATTAACCTTATTTTTTTTAAATCAGTTCAAACAATACAGACATCTTCCTCTGTATACAAATATCAGTTATTAATACATGTATTAAGATTTATCAGCGGGGGGTTCTGACAATAAATAAAACATGTAAAATCAAAAGTATAATTAAAGGCTTTATTATTGTGGTGGATTCATCCAACCAAATTTTTACATGAAAATACCAGGGTTCTCATTACTCTTCAATTTTCAGTATAAATAACTTTCGCAATAATTATTCTGGAAGGAGGATATTCTAATAGTAAACCAGATTTAAATATGGAACTTGCAAAAACAAAAGGAAGAAAGGATGGACTATAATTGATGGATTTAAAGCAGATTAAGTCATGGAGGGATGGATCAAAAAGATGGAATGACAAAATCCAACAGCTGTTCTCCCAGGATTACTCTTTGTTTAGCTCCATTTTTATTCTCATTAACCACCTAGTTTCCCCCCATACTCCTAAATAACTGGAAATTTTGCATATTGCAGATGATCGACTATGATGCATCCCTCAGGTTCTGTTTGCAGTCTTTTCATTGTTTTCTTCAAAATCACTAGGCAATGTTTGTTTATTATAAATGTACTTAAGTTCATGTTTTACTGTCATTTTGTTTTGGTCCACTAGCAAGATTTGCCCTTTAAAAAAAAAAAAAAGACCAGAAAATATGTCATTTCTGGTAGACATAAGAGCTAGGCAGATGAGTAAAAACGCAGTTAAAGCCCAAAGGAAATCTGTTTTTTGTAATATCTGGAAAAATTGGTGTATATCTGGCTCACATATCGCACCCTAGCCTAGTTCTAAATAATGCATGCACTGTTACATAACATGAACTTGATCTAAAAGAAATGTAGAAATGTAGATGGTGTCACGTTTTACAGATAAAAGAAAATTCCAGCTGATAAATGTGATTGGGTCACTTATGTGATCAGCTATTTTATTTTTTCTATAACAAATGACTGATGCGTCATGACTGAACCACAGGTATTAGGTTGTAAACCCAAGTAATCCAATGGACATCAATCTCAGGGGTGGTGGGGTTCCCCATCTCTAGGACAACTGCAGAGAGATAAAGTCTATTTTTACACATGCTGTTGAAACTGCTAGATAGATTAGAATATAAGTGCATCTCTGAGGCGGGTAATATTTGCAGTGATTAATGGACAGATCCATGTATGAGCGTTTAATTGAATTCAAAGCTTTATCTTTCCATTATTCTCTGTGTTCAGATATTTCAGTCTTTACTGTCGGAGGCACACAGCATACACAAAAATCCCAGCACATATCTTCACAGAAACCGTTTCCAGATGGATGCCCTTCTATCCCTCTGGTGCAGACAGACCAGCACGCCGGCTCCATCCACCATTTCTCAGCATATTATATCCAGCGCACAATCACAATTGGCGCTACTTTAGACATCCCTCAAGCATGAATGCAGCACAAAGCAGAAATTAATGCATGGGCAGTTAGGCAGACAGAATGATATAATCTGCTTATAGGTGACAGATTAAAAGATCAAGGGAATCTGGATACTGACTTTCTCTAGAGCTTCACATGGGGAAAAAAAAAAAAAAAAACTGCTGAAAACCCCCAGCATTCACTGCGATTATTAGAAACAAGTGAAGAAAAGCAGCAGAGCATGAATTTTGTAAAATTGGATTTTATAAGGTCCAAATTAAAGTGTGTAGTTTAGACATGATATAAAAGATGAAGCAAAATGAAACCACATCTATACACAGGTTTGTTTCATCGGTGTTCCAGTTTTATTTGTTTTTCTTTTAATCAATGAAGGGAAATAAATTAAGACAGTTTAAAAAGAGCTTTTCCAGTTGATGTCAAAGAATGGGAATGTTCCCAATATCTAACATTAAATCAAGTCTAACACAGTAAGAGAGAAAGGAGACAGAGGACAAGATTATCAACGCAACAGAAGGCAATTATAAATACATTATAGGGCAAAAAGCTTTCGCGCTAAAGACCAGTAAACTTAAAATGTTCCTGAGATGTCTTAGATTTACCACTGCATTTACTTGCCAATTAATCAGTAATGTCAACATATGGGTTCAGATGGATGTTTGTTTGTTTTTTTTATCTTAAGTCTGAATATAGTGCAACATATTAATCCTGTCCCACAAAACTGATAGTGCAGCCACATGCAAGCAAACAACTGATTTATTCTTAAACTTATTCCAAGCAGTCTTCATAACAGAGAAAGTTCACAAAAAAAGGTCACAGTTTCATTGACTGTCTTCAACGTACCGATGCTCAAATCTTTTATTTGTTTTTAGAAGAGACAGAAGCCACAGTCTCCATGAAGTGCAGGTCGACCGGCTATCCGTCTTCAAGGAGGATCAAAAGGAGGTGCACACAATCATTCACGCATACAATTAGGAGAGGCCCGTCTATGCTTTTCACTTATTCTTGTCAGAGTTGAGAACTTGGTTAACAGCTGGAAAAGAAAGGATAAATAGAAAATGCAACAGATACCAGGGCAGAGATTTATGTACTTGCATAAAAATAACACCTTAACATTTTATTCAAAAGAGGGTTTATTTAGTAAATTTAAATAGTGTAACATATATATATATATAGTCAGTTATATAGTATATATATAGTGGAGATAATTTTATACATTTTGTAAGCTAAGGCTTATATATTTGGTCCATAAAAAAGCATTCAGTTTCTCAGAAAAATAGTATATTAGACAAGACCAGTAAATAAAAAGACCAGTAAATAAAAAGTAAAAAACATAACACATGTCAGCCTACTAAAATGCTTGAGCATGCACCATACATAATATGCCACGTTTGTTAAGCGTCTATCTGGAACCAACTGCTGCTGCTTCAATGCAGAGTTGCATTGCGGTGATGAGCCAGTAGCTCTGCTGAGGTGTTACGCCCAGCTGGGTTCAATAGTGGCCTTGACCTCGTTCCCATTGTTGGCCCTGGTGTCTCATCTTCCTCTCCATGACACTCCAGATTAGCTTTGGGGTTTTGGTCAGGCAAGTTTGCTGGCCAACCAAGAACAGTGATACCGTTATCATTAAACCAGGTATGGGTCCTTTTGGGTGTTTGACCAGGTGCAAAGGTCTGCAGGAAAATAAAATCAGCATCATAAAACTTGTCAGCAGTGCGAAGTGCATTTTCCCACAAGTTAGCTGCTGCTGCTGCTGTTGGCTTTGATAAAACATAGCAGACCAACATCAGAGGCTCCTTGAATCATCACTACCTGGAAAGCTCACACAGGATATCAAGATAGATATCAAGAGCCTCTCAACTCTTCCTGCAGACACTGTACCTTGGTTCCAAATTAAATGGCCAATAAGATTCCAAAGATCAGACATTTTTAACTCCCAACATTGTATGTTATGGGCCTCTTTTTCTTAAACTGGGGTTATTGTTGCTGCTTTGCATTTTTCTACCACACTTTTTCCTTCCACTCAGCTTTTTATCAACATCTTTAGAGATGGCACTGAACAGGCAGCTTCATCAGCAATGACCTTTGCGGACTGAAAAGGGTGTCAATGAATGTCTGCTGGATAGCTGTAAAAAAAATCATTGGTCTTAATATTCTAATTTTCTGAGAAAGTGAACATGTTTTTTGTTCTTTTTAATTGACAAAGTCCTCTTAACAAATAAAAAACACTTTATATTTACTGTGAAATAAATCTTTATAAGAAAGTCACTTAAAATATTTCTGTTTTTCCTAACCCTAACCCTATATTGAAAAGCTGTACTGTGAATAGGACAGTAAGTTAATGACTCACCCTCTTTTGTCACAGTCTCTGTAATGTTCTTGGCCTTGGAAGTCAGATCACTGACAACCGTGTCCATGGTGGCCTGGTGTTTCAGAAAAAATGGCCGGATCAACCGCTTGTACAACATGTCAGAGCCGTTCCACGTCACTGGAGCCATACACCAAATCAGGAAAATGCACTGGGGAGAAAGCGGAACAGATTTCAGATTAACCTTAGCTGGACTTTTTGGGCTGCCACTTTAGCTTCTGTGCTACATTAAGCTGAAGAAAGACTTTAACCGTCTGTTGGAAACAATAATCTGACATATTCAGAAATAAGGATCCACTAGTTGTACCTCCAACATTCCAAATAAGGCCTGCTATAGCAAGACATAAAGTACAGGACATTTTTCCAAATGCAACATCAGTTAATACATACAGATAAATGCAGGATGTCTGTATATGTCTATATACATAAAAATCATGTTCCTTTACATCTCACAAAGTTTTATGTGGGAGATATTTTGTCCTTTACCTTTGAAAACTATTTCCTATTATCCAACCATCACATTGGGCTACTAATGCAAACAAGACCAACAATAATTTTCAGACTTAATTGTCTGAGAATCCTGCAATTCACATAATGTGATTCAACTGAAGCAGATGTGAAGAGCTCAAACAACTGTATGCATTTGCATCCTTTACAGAATAAATAAGTAAAGTACACAAACTTCTTCTAAAGGTGCTTTAATACAGATTCTCCACAAGAGGGCAGCTTTTGCCAACTGTATTTAGGACAGTTTTCCACCCAACCCAGCAGAAAACTACATAAAATCTTCAGAAAGAGTGTAGTTTAGTGTAAAATGACAATACTGAAAGTACTGAAGCAGGTCTCTCTGATACAGATGGTCCCAAACATTAACTCTGTTAGCTTTAATGCACATACAATACAGGCTCTTGACCTAAAAAAACAAATGTATAAGCCTATAATTACTGCTAGGCACCTTGATTGGCCTTTTTTTTTTAAACAAGGATTCAGTTAATGCTGTTATTCATCCACCCATTAATTTAATCATTTCTTACAAACATATAATGCAAATGTAAGTTTTAGATAATTTAGACCAGAGTTCAGCATTAAGGGCGCTATGAGCAGCACTTCTCATTAGCAGAAAATTTAACCTCATCTGGGACTAAACATTAAATCTAACTCTAAGATTTCCAGTCTCCATAAAAAGATGGGGATTATAAATCCGAAAAATCCAGTGCTAAAAATATGCAGAATAATCCTTTGAATGAGCTTAAGGGCTAACAACCAAACATTTTTTACCGTTAAATCAGAACAGAAATAACTCTGGAATTGACAAACCACCCTCCGCATGACCCGATGCTGAGGAAACTTATTTCCAACTACTGTGTTTAAGGGTTTGCTTTTCACTTTTTTTTTTATATTAAAGTCTTGCTTCATAATCATTTACATAATATAGCATTCTTTTGTTTTTTTCATCACAGAAATAGGAAGTTTTTGTAACACAAATCCTTAATGTCTACGATTTATGTTTTTGATAATCCATGGTTAACGAACAACAAGTAAACTTTCAACCTTATAAAATATTTTCAAAATTGTTGTGATTTTAAGTCCAATTAATTAGAACTAGTGGAAATTGTGTAGGGTTGATAATCAGGCAATGCAGTACCTTCCTGCTGGATCTATATGTGTGTTTACTGTGACTTTTTCAAGGCTCTGAACTCATGAGCAAACAGTCGCTGATGAGTCTGCAGAGGTGGGGTTGTGCGTGATGACAGTGGTGCAGTAATAAGGTACAAAACCAAAGTTAAACGTTTCTTATTTTCAACATCGTCATCTGAAATTTTATCACCACAGTTGGATTCATTATCGCATCGATATTTATCTCTCAAATAGTCACTGGAAACAGAAATGTTGTTCAGTGAAACTGCAGGCAATTGGAAGATGAGAATTTTACCACGCTATGGGAAGTGCTGCCTTCCTTCAGGCAAAACAATACTGATTTTGTCCACTGGGGGGAGCCAAAATCAACCAAAACTTAAAGTTCTTTAGTACTGCTTTAATACAGCAATCGCAGTGTTGACTTTACTACCTTTTACTACCTCAACAAGGCTTAACAAAGGTCTTGTCTAAGATCTCCTCCCACATGCAAAACCTTTGGCCATGTCAGAGTTTGAACATGTTTTAGAACAGCTCCTCCATGCCAATGGTGGATGCATGGTACGATGTGCCAACACTGTTCATGGTAACATTTAGTTTTTCTTTATAATTTGCAAAAAGCCTCAATCATTCTCAATGACCTGTTGAAGCCAATCTTTAAATGTTGGGTCAAACATTCTGTTAAAAGTATTTAGTTAAACAAAGTAATAAAAACTCATCATTTGTTGAAAACTCTACTTACTAATGTAGTGAGGTAGTGTGTTTTTTTTTTCAGAGTACATTTCGCTCCATCGATAAATCTGAATTGTATATGTAATAATTAAAAATAACTGTAGTATATAACTGGTTTTAGGCAATGGTTTGGTTTCCGCAAACCATTGGAGTTAAATTTACTTTTCAAGTTTTACAGTGATCTAAAGTTGGGAAACTGTAAATTTTTCCATGGCGGGGTGCAAAATGATTAATTTCAACATATTAGGCAGTTCAAACACAGTACAATAGGGCTTAAGGATTTCGTCAAGAATCAAAATTGTGATTTTTTTTTAAACAAACTTTGGATTGGGATTTAATTTCCCTTTTCCTTTGCACTGAACCCAAGCTTGTAGATGTTTCAACCAAGGCTTTCAGTTTATGTGAAAGGTTCTTATTGCTACTTATATGCATTAAATCTGTGTTCTAGCTGCATCTGGCTTTACCTCTCCATGTGGCGAAAAACCCACATCAAGCATTTTACTGCCAAATAAAGGGATAGAGGGAGAAAGTTAGTATATTACTCTTGGTAAATATAGAGTGATCAAAATAGGGTGACTGCAATTTGAAAACTGTGTTTTGGTAAATTTCAATTATATTGCAAATACAATTAACTTCCCAGTCCCTGCACACAGCCGGTCAGCCAGAAGAACAAAAATTATTTATCAACATCAGTTCAGGTCCTGCTGTATGTATAGCAAAAACTTTTGTACAGATTTTATAGCTAAATGAACTTCAAACAGAGAGCATCATTGGAAAAGCCAAAATATTTTGAAGTTGAGTTGACAGAAAAATTTACGACCAAGTCAAATTCTGTTTGTCACCTTTTACTACCTTTCAATGGCCTAAAGTTGAGTAAATTCAATTTACAACATTTTACACCCTGTAGAAGCCCTGTAACTTGAGAGCACAGCTGACAAACATGTATGCATTTTATGGGAGAAATCAATGCATTAACTTACTTTTCCACAATAGTAAAAGGGGAACCAGGAGAGGAAGATGTCAGAAAAGGCCTCAACAATGCTGAACAGTCCATAAACAACCCAGTAGGTCAGCCACTGGGTGTCATCATCCTTGACGTTGCTCTCAATGGCCTTGATGCTGAAGGAATAGGACAATGTATGTCGATATAAATGTGTAATAAAAAAAAAGTCCAACTAATGATGATGAAGCCTTTAGGATTATCTGATAATATCGTCACATTAATGCAGAGACATTTGCATAATTATTTGCATTTTTAAACTGTAGGTAACATCCTACTTCCTTTATAATTTAACAGCTATGTTTTCAAAACCATTCATATTGCCTAAAAAGAAATGTGTACAAGTGGGCAAGTTATTTATATGTGCTAATCAGCCCAGGAATGCCATCATATTTACAATTTCTGTTGGGATAAGAAATAAAAAGTATTATCTATCTATTTATATGTTTCTATGATTAAAACAAAGGTTAATGGAATTATTTATAAAGGGAGGAAGATTTCAAAACTTTGAGTGAAGCGTTTTCACACCAATTTAAAGATGATGTTATACGTACGAAAAATACGCTGGGTAGATGAATCCGATCAGGTTGCAGAGCAGTGAGGCTCCATATCCAAACAGAAGGTAGAGAGCGATGAAGGCGAGAATACCTACAAAGAAAGATGAGAGCAGAGGGCGGGGCAGGAAGGTGGAGGAGAGGGTATCCAGTTACAACATAAATGCTGGGTTAAAGCATGTTATTGTGCCAAATCATAGGATGGAAGGATAGCAGAGAACTGGGACTAGAAGCTGTGCTGACATAAAGCCAAATACCAGTTATCAACTTTCAGCACATTTCAAAAATCACTGACATCTAAGCCTACACCTGTGACTGAAATTAAACAATTAATCAGTAAATACAATTCCACTGTGGGACACTATCAAAATTTACCCTTAAAAGTTAAAACCAAAATTAAAAGTGTCATGATAAAAGGCAGGAAATGAAATCAATTACCTCTTTTTGTCATAACTGCCAGCGCAGCTCTTCAGACTGGTCAATAGTATGTTTATAATTAACATGAATCAAAACAATGTTTTGTTGTGATACTCCCAAGTAGTTTGCTTCTAGAATTTTGGCTACAAAACGACCAAAAATATTTGCGAAAACCACAAATTTATGTAAGATATAACTGATGTAATCGGGTAATTTATATGGGTTACATTCAAACAAGAGGAAACACCATTCTAGGCATTAAGGATGCCATTTGCTACTCTTTACATCTCATTTGTGTCTTGCAGTTCATAAATTAATATCTATACAAATGCAGCAATAAAGAAGAAAGATTAAACAGATTGGACTCCAAGTCGGGACTAGAGCTCACATACAGAAACACTGCAGCCTGCAGAGATCAGACAGACTTGTTGACTGGAAACACATAAACAGCTGGAGGGTCTTCAGACAATGCTAATGAGAAAAAGCAGATGTGAAGCGTTTCAGTCCAATTTTAAACTTACTTTATTCATTCAGCATCTATTCAAAGCAACCATTATCTCCCTCCATCATCTATACCCACTTTTCCTTGCAGGGTTTACAAAAGGTCTCATCCCTAACCAACTGCATGTTTTTAGAATACGGACGGAAAATGGAGAATCCGGAGAGAATGAATGTATGAAGACCTCAGGCTTAAGGGATCACACACTGTTAAAAATGCAAACTGTTGTAAAACGAATACAGCAGTAGCCTTCATGTGTTGATGCTACCTCTGCTTTCAAAATAAACTATTTTTTTTTTACTTTTTAGGGGGGAACTATTAAAGGATGATTTTAATTCAGCACCCTAATATGGAATTGGGTCCAAATTTGTCAACAAAACAAAGCTTTTGAGATCAAGTGTTGACCACAAATCCACTATTGGTTTGCTTTCAAAGTATATATTAAGTAGGGTTGAAATAATTGATCAGATTAAACATGATTATTCGATTACTGAAATAATGGTCAACTAATTTAGTAATCGATTAATTGTCAAATGGAGTATATAGAGTCTCTAAAACATGCCTTTAACTGACTCACTTAGAGTAGTAATTAGATCAAAATTGTAAAAAAAATACATATATATATATTTATATATATATTTTTTTTGCATTTCAGGAAAAATAAAACTTTCATCCATCAATATTCTCTATCCAAAACTCCTGAAGTGGGTTTCACCCGGTTTAATGTCTTAAAAATCTTCTTTAAGGAACCTTTGGCAATTACTGATCATTATTTGAAAAAATAATAGTCGGATTAACCGATTTGTAAAATAGTTAGTTGCAGCCCTAGTATTTAGATTCAGACCTCACATCCAAGGTGTAACAAAGGTAATCCCTACAAACTTGCAGCTCAGCAAAAAAGCAAAACAAAAACAAAACAGCCCAAAACAGTGACAGTTGAAAGCAAGTAGCAAAAACAACATTTTTGCTGCAGGCAAAGGAAAGAACAAGACTGAGTTTTTCAGCACATTTAACTGCAAAGCTGAAAGCTGATAACATGACATTAGGTTACTCCACCTTCTAACCTGGTTCTTCTGATTGGCTTTATTAGGATGCCACATTAAGATAAATTCTAAGTACTTTGACACTAGTCATAATCAGTTTTCATGTTACAAGTCCACAATGCTACCAGAGTGCAGCTCACAGATTAACTGGTAAACTAAGGAGGCGACATGATGCCACTCAGCTGCTGTTTATCTCTACGTTCTGCTGAACACGAGTTATTGAACAGCCAAGAGCCATTTGATTACAATGCTGAGTATTTACTTAACATCTTTGAATTTATAGCTACACTGCTGATACTTTTTCCATCACAGGAAAATTATGACCATGAAGTTAGTAAAGACTGAACAGCAATAAAGCCGCTCCCCAAAGGTTATTTACTAGTCACCATAAAACTGTCACTCGTCACCTTAAAAAAAAAGTTCATTTTATTATCACAAAACAATCCTCTCACTATATTGATCTCCAATATCTTCAGAGATTAAATCACAAAAGTTTGTCCAAAGTGTGATGTTTAAATATTAATAGCCATTAGAACTGATGGCTATCCATAAATTATCTTTTAAAGCTTGTAGTTTGATTCAGCTTTCTAGTAAAAGCAATGAGTGATATAGAAGCTTTTAGAGACAAAACTAACAGAAGAGGACCGAGCAATATAAATGGGTAATTATAAAAAAATGCACTTAGTTCGCTAATGGGTGGGATGGCATTATCAGCCTTAATCCAGGTCCATTTCCTTTGGTGTTCAACCACTTGAAGTGTCTCAGTTTAATAGTATTTACATCATTATCAATCATCTGTAGAAAGAAGACAGGCTTTAGTTTCTATTTTGACTACCGGTACATTCAAGCTGTTTTCTTAGATTTCAGAATTAAAACTGATAACAAGAGTACCCCTAAGATTACTCAATCTATCCATCCTTCTATCAACATTAAAAAGCTGAGATATTAATATAATCAATGTAGTCTAATTTAGGGCTAAAAGTTTGTTAACAGCTACAATTAAACACACTCACTGTTGCTGCTGGGTCTTTTTTACCCAACTTTTAGTCAATTAACCCTTGTCCCATTTATCTTAGCAAGCAAACCATGTAAATGACATCATTTAAAACGAAGGTGTTAACCAACAAGTATGGAGAAATCAGTCAAACCACTCCTACAATTATTAAGACGGAGGAATTCATTTCACAATTTGTCTGCATGCAACTGGCTGAAACCACAAGAAAGCATGTTATTGGAGTCAAATTATCAAACAATAGTCATTTCATAAATAAAAAAAAGCTAGCTAAATGTGTATCATAACTTTATGAGCAGAGGGCTTTTAAAATAAACAATCAAAATGCCTGGCAACTAAATTTAGTTTTATATTTTGGGACCGTATAAAACTGGATCTGAAAGTTTTAAATCAATTTAAAAATGGCACCCAAGTGTTGTTCCAGATTATCTAACTTGTTTCTTTTATGCAAGAAGAAAAGCTCCACTCTCAGCATAGTGCCTCGGTTGGCATGCGGTTCCCCTCATTTCATTTCCTGCTTCTCTGTGGTCACAGACACACACGCATGGCATTGGGTGAGCACACCATTATATACAAAGCTTTCAAAAATGTTAAATTAAAGACAACAGCAAGAAGAGAAATATTTAGGAAACATGAGTGAATATGATATACTTGGTATTATGCAGCACAGCCCAAGTTTACACAGCTAGAACACACAAAGTCCTTTGCAAACAGGCTTTTGATCCATGTATAAAATACTACAACTGGCTGCACATGAAACCTGCAAAACTCAGGATCAGCTGGCACATAAACTTGGCTTTTTGAATGCAAACTATTGCACTATTGTGAACACATCTCATTTGATGTTATTTGAACAAAAATGGTGGGTCTGAATGTAGGGCACTCTGCCTGGGAAGTTTCATGCAGCTGCAAACAAAGAACTAGACTGTGGTGTCTGGCTGCCATATATTGACTTCTGCTATGCATATTGATTCTGCTGAGCTTTGTCAAAACAAAGCTCTCAAAAAGCTAATGGGTGGAGGAGTTTGAAGCTGAATGTCATCCCAGGATATCCCTTTCCATTTCTGCCCTGCAGTTGGTATTTTAGGGCGGATAAAAATACTCTCTGGCCAGCTGCGGGTGCATTTGGGATTTTAACAGCAACGTTCACATAGAAATGTTTTAGAAATACCATAAGAATTGAGCTGGTTGAACTTAGGCATGAAAGAGGGGTAATAAACAAAGAAAGACAGTCAGCTTTGGCAGCCTGCTTTTGCAGATATGGGGCAATTATCAGTAGAATTAGATAAGGCTGACCTACAATAGACGGCGCTGCTTTTAAGCCAAACTAATTCATTTAACTGTATTTAAACGCCTTACAAAGTCTCTAAAAGGGAGCCGACATGAAGTGTTAACATACCCAGTGTCATATATTCTCTCTTCACTCCCGTTTTTTCTTCCAGCACCGCCAACTGGTCGGTGACAAAGTTTTTCTCATGGAGCAGAGTCACAAAGCGTTCTTTCAGATGACTCATTTTGGCCTTTTTCCTGAGCCTGTGTGCAACACAAAGTGAAACAGCTAACATGATACAAGCGTGGATATTTTATACAAGTTAAAGTGAATGTATTTTCTTATTTATTACTAACCTCTGCTTGTCAACTTGATGGCAAAGCGGCAGAAAAACGCCAACTGTTCGCTCGCTCAGAGCAACGGGCAAGCGGAGGGGGCGGAGCTTGAATCAGTGCGCTGACCAATCAGGGCGCAGCTCTAACCTCCTGGGTTCTTCTTCCTGTTGGGCCTGAAGGCGTTCAGCCTCCATACACATATGTAATTAATTATATCAGGGCTGCTTATAAGAGCACAACAATCTAAATTAAAGTAGAAAAACAAAGCATTTTTTGCAATAAAAAAAAAAAGATTTCTATTGCTTACTTGCTTGTCTAGTTTAAACCGGTTTTTGAACAGCTGAAGCACTTTAAGAGATTTTAGCACAATGGAGATAGTGTGTTCTGCTGGTGTTGGTATAAGAAAAATTCTGTCAATGCTTCAGTTCTCTTGATAATCTGTTGTTCATATTTTGAAACACACCAAAACTTAAGCCTAAAGAAAAAAAAGACTGTTTTGATTTTTGAAACAAAAACTAATGTGGATTTCTTGTATTTTCAAAATTTATTCAATTAAGGTCACAAAAGAGGGGGTGGCCTAATATGAGATTTATGTAGCTCTGTATGAGTAAACTCTTATTTAAAGTCTAACATATGGTTTCACATTCTGTTGCATTTAATCTACATTTTATTTAGATTTTTTTGAGACAGATCAACACATAATAATGCATACTGTTGTATTAGAGGGAAATATATGCAAGTATTTAAAATATACAGGTATTTACAAATAAAAACAAGATTAGATACATCTTTTTGTTCAGTGATATTTATTTTGTTCAGATATTATATTTATTTTTCTCTCAGTTTATTGTTAGAAATCTTTTGTTAATTTTTGTCACATCTCCAATTTTTTTCCACCAGGTAATTAAGAATTTTCTTTTAAAACAGAGTTTTTTCCTTCCAGTTTAATGTATAAACGGGAGCTTATCTAATGTGTGACTTTATAATATTTTTATTTTAAAACTTTCAAATGCTAAGAAAACCTGAACCTGAATGCTTTCCACATTTCGCTAGAGATGACTACCTCTTCCAATACAGTGCCATGGACTGCTGAATAAATAAAATAAAGCATATTGCCGAAAGTGTTTTCTCACCTGTTGTAATGAATTATATTAGGTGTTCCAATAATTTGAACGGCCACAGGTGAATCAAGCACCTACGTAGGCGGGCAGACTGTGGTAACAATCATCTATGAAAGAACGGGTCGCTCTCAGGAGCTCAGGGAATTCCAGTGTGGAATAGTGATCTGATGCCAGTAGTGCAACAAATCCAGTCTTGGAGTTTCCTCGCTTCTAAATATCCCACAGTTACCTGTTAGCTGTTTAATAAGAAACATTAAGTGTTTCAGAATGATTACTCAGCTATAAAGTGATAGGCCATAAACTGATGGCGTGGGCCCAGAGGATGCTGAACCACATAGTGTGAACAGGTCGCCAACTTTCTGCAGTCACCCACTATATACCTCCAAACTCCATGTGGCCTTCAGATTAATTCAAGAACAGAGAGCTTCATGGAATGGGTTTCCATGGTCCAGCAGCTGCAGTGAAGTCGTAAATCGCCAAATACATATGCAAAGCGTCAGATGCCATGGTGGATAGCACGCTGCCACTGGACTACAGAGCAAGACGCATTCTCTGGATTGAGGAACCACACTTATCGATCTGGAAATCGGATGGACCTGTCCAGGTTTGATGATTGCCAGCAAAATGGTACTTGGCTGATTGTATTGAGCCCAGTGTAAAGTTTGGTGAAGGGTTGTTATGGTTTGGCATTGCTTTTCAGGAGCTGGGCTTGGCCTCTTAGTTCCATTTAAATGAATGAATTCTTCAGCATTCCAATATCTATTGGATAATTCCATTTCCCAACTTTGTGGGGACAGTTTGGCGCTGTCCCCTTCCTTTTCCAACATGACTGTCTGGTGTGAATTAATTCAACTGCACTGCACAGAGTCCTGACTTTACACCAAAGAAAACCTTTGGGATAGATTAGAGAGGAGACTGAGAGCCAGGTCCTGTCATTCAACACAAATTTGCTTCTAGAAGAATTGTCAGAATTCCCATTAACACACCCATGAAGCTTCCCAGAAGAGTTAAAGCAGTTCAAGCCATAAAGAATGGAACGATGTCATATTGAACTACTGTTCATTAGGAAGGGGATGTTTCGTCAGCTCAAATGTGACTCAAGATAGATGAGTAAATACTTTTGGTAATATATTTTATTTGTAGTATAAACAGTAACTTTTTTCCTTTTTCTGTTGTTAAATTGAAGTGTACAATTCAGGCCAGGAAAGCATAAACCAAGCCTTCTTCCTTCATCTTGTTTACTAAATAATTTTTCACTGTTTATGTTTTGCAGCTGAAAATATTAATAGTTGGAACCAATCCCTTTGTAGGATTCTTACTTTCTGGACCAGGGCTGTCCTCCTCTTTGATTAAGATATAGATCTACTGACATGCATTGTGTTATTGGAAATGCAAAAAAAAAAAAAAAAAAAAAAAAAAAAAAAAAAAAATTGATATTGATATCTGTCAGCAGAGGGCAGTGTAGAACAATTTATGGAAATTAAGTCACTTTTGGGAGCTCTGCGATCCACTGTCATGGAGTGAGAAGAGGCAGAGTATAGCCAGGGAAGAAAGTCAGTACAAGACAGGGACACCCAAAACAAAATTAAAATAAAACTTCTATGTGAAACTTTATGAGGGATTTTAGAGGCCAAACATGGTGGTGGTAGTGTGATCGTCTGGGGCTGTTTTTATATAAGTTGACATAAGTGATAGTCCAAAGAACTTTGATGCCTGATACAAATCTAAAAGGAGAACATCCAGCCACTATTTTTTTTAACCTTTAGCTCAAGTGCACTTTGTTTTAGTGCAAAACAATTATTAGAAGTGAACCAGCAAGTCTGACTCTGAATAACTCAAACATATAAACAAACATTAGAAACTTTTAGAGTGGCCTAGTTAAAGACTGGATATAAATCCCACTGCAATGTTTCATCATTACCTTATTGATTGTTCATGCTTAAAAACCCTTCAATGTAACTAAAATGAATCACTATAGTGAAGAGAGGGACAAATTTCCTCTTAATGATACAAAATGACTTTCTGAAAGTTATTAGAACAAAACTGCTGGCAGTAGTTGTCACCAAGAGTATCACAACCATCTATCAGCACTAGGCGTTTTAATAACTGCATTTTGTACTTTATTTATCTTTGTTTTGATATCAAAATGTATTTACCAATCCTAAACTTAAAGTGTTTTAAAAAAAAAGAAAAGAAATAATAATAATAAAAAAAACAAAAATCATTTATTAAGTGAAAATGTTCTTTCCAAGCCTTTTGGATTAAAGTTCAATTCAGAATATTATTATGTATGTTTTATGTGTGTTAGCAACGTTTATTTTTCTACAGCATGTTTATGCATTCACTGTACTTTTGCACTATGCTTGTTTCTGAGACTGAAGCATTTCTCTTTTGAGTATTTCTTTTTTCTTTTTTTGGAATAATTTTGCAGACCAACTATTAAGCTTATATTCTGCCACCTACTGGACTAGAGTGCGGACAAAAGATTGGTAGCAAAATAAAACAAAAAATACAAATATTCAAACCTCTAATATCAGTTCTGCAACTGGAAGTTGAAGATTGGTATTTTTTAGATTTTAGGGCCTATTTAAGCAAAATCTTCATTAACATCACCTTAAACCTGAAACTCAAACAGACTCTTCTGTTATTCTTTAGATAAGGCTTTTCCACAATATGCTAATACCAATAATAATATATTTCCTTTATGACGTCTTTGATCCGATGCTCAATGGAGTTTTTCAATTCATTTTAAAGATAAATGTATTGGTTTTGATCCATATTTAAATTCTATATGTTTATCAAAAAAATGTTTAATGATATATTGTACAATATTACATTCTGAGATGTTAGGATATGCAAGGTTAGGTTAGAGATTGGATAATAATGTGCCAGTGTGAAATATTTGAAGGAGGCAGAGTTGGACATAAATCTGTTGTATGTAATCCTACATGTTAAGCTTTTACATTGACAATCACTTTGTTTCTTTGTCTTCTTTTGGTTTTACCTGCTGTATCAGGGTATGTAGCATAAATCACGTTTAATAAGTTTACTTTATATGCTAGGTAATATTTTCATGAGAGAAAAAATTGATCCTTTTACATATTTCTAGTCTTATCGTTTTATTAAATCTCATCCTAAATATTTCCTACTGTCCAATAATGTCTGCTCTAATTTTTCTGTGGTTTTACAATCTAAACATTTATCCACTTGACTTCTACTTTATATAAACAATGTTTCTTTGAACCCTGTATGTTCAAACCTAATTAATTTAGTTTAAACACCTTCCCCTCTTCAGCTCTTTCTAGAGACACCATTGGCTTTAATAGATTTCTGCACA